ACTGAATATCTTTGGGTTTTTGACCATTTATGACACAACACTAAACAAAAACAATAGTTGATTATTTAGACAAAATAATCAATTTTGTCAATCAATCAATCAATAATGTAAGGGAACCAAAATAGTAAGGGTCAGGGTTGCTAGCTAATGATGAAACAGTATTCTTCCTGAACTGAATGTTATGTAACAAACAGTTCAGTATACCTAATGAACAAAATAATTACTGTCTAATTAGTTTAATACCTTCTAATTAATGTGAATGTCGCAACAAATGCAGAACATAAATAGCCAAATGTGGCAAAGGGAGAGTTGTTGTTTGTTGGCTAGACCGTGCTAGTCAGGTTAGCCCCTAGACGTACTGATCATATGACAAACACAAATGAGAAAACTCAAACAGCCTCAAATACCGTTTAGTTATCGTTCGGTCTCTTATACAAGCAGTGTAACCGAAGCTGCAAGACATTATGTCTCTGGCAACAGGCAAAAATGCTAATTCATTTGTGATGGCGTCACCCTAATTTGTCCATAGCAGGACTTGAGCATCGCTATAATGGACCCTCAATGTTATCTTTTGTATTTCTGTTCTTCTGAAAACCTAACCCTGACCTTAAAACATACTTACGTAATATACTGTGGACTTTGTGCACGATTACAGCCACGGTGCTTGCTGCTGGATACATTAGGCTTTTACAGGCTCTCAGTGGCAGAGGAAGAGCTGACAATGTAATGTTCAGGTCATGTGATAAGAAAAAAGAAAACGAGTATACGAACACTGCTTTTGTGGACAATCTGAATAAATCATACAGACCAGCTTAGAGGGGGCCTACATGTGTGTGGGGGGGGGGGGGGGGTCTACACCAAATGCTTCCAACACTGTGGATTCCCGTCTGGAACATGACCTTTACAGAACGGAGCCTCCCTTATTTTAGTCTCCTCCTATCTTGATCTTGATTGCCAGCGCGGTGTCTCTTTCCTCTCTCCCATCTTTCCCATCTCGCTTAGAACGGCAACAGCAGGATGCCAGAAAAATACTCTTTCAAAAGTCATGACATGAGCTTTACTGTACAAGATTGCTGAAACCCCCTGAGGAGACGAGTAAAGGCATCGACCTCCCCACAGAAGTTCATTCTGAGCAGGGAGTCCATCCATTTATGTAATCTGTGGACCACTTCCTGTTATGGCCACTCCTAATACCGGTCTCTGTTCCTTTTACATAGGGCAGAGAGTCCGTGTGTGTGTCACATACTACACAGATCTCTGTATAGTTTCTGAGAACATTTGTGTATGTGTGTGAGCGAGTCCTCCCTAGAGGGGTGAGAGCTTGCCATAAAGTCTTTCTCTCATCCCACTAAAGCACTTTTTTTTTTTTTGGGTCTTTCCTATCCCTGAAAACAATAAAAGCCCCTTGAGATATGATACTGAAAGAAACAGAGAGACTGCACAGTAATAGAGCCAGATATGCAGGAAGGAGAAACTGAGAGAGAGAACAGAGGCTGCCACGGAGAACACAGTGACAGCAAACACGCCGTCACTCACTGACGAAATGAGATACTTATTTCTATTTGTAGCGCGCACTTTTAGTTAACTTCTGTACAGTCAGCACTGTGTCAGTCAGTCCAGTGCAGGTAAATACTGAGGTTTGTCAGTTGACAAGAACGCTGTACCAGACAACTTGCTAAGACAAGTTATGTACATTACATACACCGGCATGCGGCTGGATTATCGGTACCCTTGGTTAAGCATCAAAACTGCTTGGTTAGGTTTTGGAAAATATAATGGTTTTGGTTAGGTGATGGGAGCAAAGGACAGATTATGAATAGCAATCAAGTCCATGTAAAGAGGAGGTCTAGTTGGCTTGCTTAGTCAAACACGGGACTTTCACTTGGTATAATGGGGTTTGATTTTCATGTGAACCAATAGCCAAAGTTGATTGTTTAAATTTTAACAAATGATTTCTGTTTTCTGCCATTTTGAAATATCCATCGAATGTCGTAAACGGAAAGACGTATCAACCGTGCGTATCACCAATCACACTGCAATCTCTTAATGTATTCTCGCCCTGGAACACGGCCACAACGATGGCTCTAAATACCTGTTAAATAAGTGGCCAGTCAGACTGTACCAAGTGCCTGCTACATCATGGGGGGAATTGTGATTTTTAGTTTTGAGATTTTATTTCTTCAGAAAATATTGGTTAATTGTTAAATACATAAACTGATATTCTAATTGTGTTGTTTTGATTAATTTGTAGTTTGGTCATTTGTCATTTGGTAGTGTTTGTCATCAGCTGTTACGTACTTGTTCCCCTTTGCATATATTGTAAATTGTTTCTTTCATTCTTCAGTGAATGCCTGCCAGCTCAGCCCCTCACCACCAGTGAGATAAGTTTAACCGGAATCTGATCAGTGGTGAGTGGGATGACATAATGCCCCTCCTTTAGGCCAATCTCTGTCATTTAAAAGCATGGAAACATATTAATAAGATGTATCAATTTCTTGAGGTCTGAGCAAATTTGATGATCAAAAGTGAGTGAGATATCAACTGTGACACATGGACAAACAATTATCAGGTTTAGCATCCCCCTGGCCCATCACTGTTTATGCTGAAAATGCTGGACAGCAGTGGTTGGATGCAGTACTACCGCCTGCTTTTGTTCAAATCCTATTTGTGGTGTCCGAGGTACCATGGATCACAAATGTAACAAACCCAACAGAATGATATTGATTTTGTTATTTCTTACCAGCAAACTATTGTGATTGTATCAAAGACAGACATAAAAAACAAAAATGTTTCTGCTCTTGCCTTTTTTTTTAAAACATAAAATATGGCAAGTCATACAAAAGAACCAGTAGGGCTAGGTTTTAAAGTGCTAGTGTATATTGAATACCCAGTATTCAGGTACCTGAATATTTGATCAGACTGAGTAAACAAGATTAATCTGACATTTGATGCCAGGTTTAGTACTTAACACTTCTCATCACTCTGCACTTTACATTGGTACAAGAACATTTTGACATTTAAAGCTGTACCAGTCCATTTTTTTTTTTTTTTACAACAGTGGATGAATTGACAAGTATTGTGAAAAGAAAATCTCAAAATGATAAACCCACAGAAAATTATCACCCTCCTCTGCAGGTCCCCTCAGCCCTGTCCAACGTTTTATCACGGTGTAGCTCATTCTTTTGGTTTTATTGCTCGGCAAAGGTCCAGTGTGTAACATTTGCGCAGGATCTATTGTCAGGAATCGGAATAGTAATATTCATAGGGATGTTTTCATTAGTGTATAATCACCTGAATAAGATAAGTAGTAAGTAAAGCTTTATTTATTACACCTTTTTGTACCAGACGATCCAAAGTGCTTTAACAAACAACAGAAATAGAAC